ACACACACACACCTCCGCCATCCGCTTTAATGCAGGGTGCTGCAGGATCACAAGTCATCACTCTTCCATGCTATTAACCTCAGTGGCAGCAGCACTAAGGAGGGAAAGAGTTGATCTTTCCACCTGAATCAGCAGAGAATTTAAGAAAATTATAGAGGGATACTGGGCACGTGTGTGTGTGTGTGTGTGCATAGGTACGCACAAGCTTAATGGCTGGTAGTGAACCACACAATTAGATCAACGATTCAGAAATGTGCATTCCTATCTACAGAAAACTGAAGATGCATACATTATTTTCCTCTCATGTGTGGGCTACAAGTTGTCAGGATAATTGAATGCCAACTGCTACAAACCAAGAGGGTGGCTGGTGGCCTCTGCATCAGTTGTAGTGGCCAATCTGCTCCTGATTTTGGCCCGAACTGCAAAATTGGTCTCCTAAAATGCATTCAGGAACTACGTTGTCATAACTGCTGGGGATTCATGGTCATGGTCATGAATGATGCAACAGGATCCCAAAAAGGATACCTGTGCAGTTGGCAGTGACCCAACCAAAGCATTTCTGACACAGTGGGGATTGGGGTGCTGGGGAATGACATCTGTAGTGACTCCTGGTTGCGGGGTATATTGGGACAAGCTGTTGTGACAAGACCTTGAAGGATCTCAGGAGGAGCCTCCTGACAGTCAGAGCTCCTGACAGTGGAAGAGGCTGCCTTGGAGAGTGGTGGAGTCTTTTAAACAGAGGCCAGATGGCCATCTGCCAGGGGTACTTTGATTCTGTCTTCCTGCATGGCAGAGGGTTGGATTGGATGACCTCTTGCAGTATCTTTCAACTCTATGATGCCTGTTCTCAAGGCATCCAACCACTGCCACTGGACTGTGGATGTTGTTCCCCAACACCCCAATTTCCAGGACCTCAGAAATGTTTTGCTTGGGCTGCAAAGGTTATTGTTATGCAGGGAGGGGAACTCTCATTTGCAAATCTGACGATGATGCTAATCGCATGGAATCATAGGATCATAGAGGTCATAGATCAAGACACAATCCAAGCACTCCCATCAGATGGTCATACAGTCTCTGTTTAAAAGCCTCCAAAGAAAGAGACCCCACTACATTCCAAGGCAATGTCTTCCACTGTCAAACAGCTCTGACCATCAGAAAGTTCTTCCTAATGTTTAGGTGGAATCTCTTTTCTTGTAATTTCCATCCATTGCTCTGTGTCCTAGACTCTAGAGCATCAGAAAAGAAGCTTGATCCCTCCTCAATATGGCATCCCTTCAAATATTTAAACAGGGCTATCATATCACCTCTTAACCTTCTCTTCTCCAGGCTAAACATACTCAGCTCCCTAAGTCATTCCTCATAGGGATTCATGGTTTCCAGACCTTCCACCATTTTGGTCACCCTCCTTTGGACACACTCCAGTTTATCAGCATCCTTTTTGAATTGTGTTGCCCAGAACTGGAGACTGTATTCCAGGTGAGACCTGACCAAAGCAGAATCTCAGCCCTATTATTTTGTGCTTTCCATTCAAAATCCACTAGTTTGGAGGGTGGGATGAACATGTTCTGCAGACAACAGAGTGGACCTGATCTTCTGAAGCACATGCTGGGTGGATTATGTTTGCTTCATGCATCATTACGCAGGATTGTGCCGGCCTTGGAGCAAGACAAAGCTCTGCTTTTGTCCAGCATGGGATTCGTGATCACTATATGACACACTTGGTGGAAATGATAAATTGCCACATCACTCCAAAGCCCATAAATCTCAGCCTTTTGTTTTCACAGGTCCTTGTGGGTTGTTGATTTAATATCAGCCTTGCAAATCCAAGTGATGACAAGAGATGGTTTGTTACACCTTTAATGTGCTTATTCAGTGAGTAACAACTTTTGTTTTCTCACAGGGGATTTCCATTTTTATTCTTTTGGCAAGGGATAGTCATGTGTCACCCAAACTTACGATAGTGGAGACCTTTGTGTATTTACCCATGCTTTTTTGTTTTTGTTTTTTATCAGTCTTTTGTGTGCTTTTATATGGTTCTTTTAAAAGGAACTTTACATTGGTTTTATGCGGTTTTCAGAAACTATTGAAGTGGACACAGTTCTGCTGTTTCAGCTAGTTGTTTTCTCCTCTGTTCATTTGAAATGTTTAGCCCCATTGCTCTATCAGTTGAAGAGTGAGGTACAACAAAGATTCAATGATTCAATATATATATATACATACAAGCCAGCCCATAAGACTGTGGCTACATTTGGGATTTAAACTTGGAGCTTTTTGGCTTGCGCACGTCATAATCTCCAACATTTCAGACATGAAAGCCAGGATATGTAAGGCCAAGCAAAGTCAGAGCGTGATCCTTGTTTTCTGTTTATGATCTGGACATAAACCCATGTCTTATGAACATCTGTCCATTCTATTCTTTTCACTTGTAGAGCTTTGATACTTTATGGCTCACATACCTCTGAAATCATCCACACAGCCATATATAATAGAAACAGGCTTTTTGCTTTCAATGAAAGCTGATTCTCAGACCACCAAATGTTCCACCCAACATCACATGCATCTTTTTTTATTCACTGTACAACCACAGAGCCAGTCACACCATAAAATTCAGGTTGCTCCTGCTCTAGAGAGCAAAGCATCCAGCCGGGCTGAGGTCAGCTTGATCTTAATAGCTCAGCGCTCCTGGATTTATTTTGCAAGCTGACCTTTCTCTGTTTTTAACCCTCTTCTGTATTCATTGCTTGAGAGGGGTAGGAGGGAGGCAGTGGCTGGACGAATTTAGCACATCTAGTCCAGAAGAGGCTACAAACTCTCAGCCATGAAGCAACAGGAATGTGAAGCTAAAAAGTCAGCAGATCCAAGTCCAGAAACATAAACAAAGGCACCATCCAGAAGGAATGTGCAAGGTTTTCATGAAAAAAGCTGACCCTAATTGGCCATTCCCAGATCCCACAGATATCAACCAAAATGTTTTAGTCATGGCTTCTAGCATGGTGGTTCCTCAGATGGTTTTGGACTGCCAACTCCTACAATCCTTTTCTGTTAGGCTTTCTGTTAGCGACATACCCTCCAGTATTTCGCAGATGAAACCAGGACAAATGTGGCCATGCAACATCTGACTGTGGTCAAGATGGCAAATGTTATAATAAGGAAGAACACACAAGTTAGGAAAGGCTGCAGTGGTTTGCTTTTGCCTGAGCCTGCTGGGAAGGACTAGTTCCTCCCCATCTTCTCCTCTGCTCCTGCAGATTTGATTGAGTACAAGTTGGTTTTGTACTTGGAATTCAGTTTGCAGCAAGGGGAGTAAGTTGAGGGGTAAAGTGGGAGGAGGTGGGAGAAATTGGGACATTTTTAAAGCAACTGAAAAAGTGGGACAACAGAGAAGTAAGCAGAACATAGAAGAAAGAAGTAAGTTGGGTACATAGGTATATGTCCTAAGACTGATAGGAATTGTGGTCTCAAAACACACTTAGCAGTGTGTAGCAGCCCCTTGGTCTCACTTTACTTGTGTTTGTATCTTGTGGTTTTGGGCAGCATTTGGAAGCAAAGAAAAAGTCTTCTTTTTTGGGGGGGAGGAGCACAGGGTTTTCCTTCAAAGTCCCCTAGGCCCATAATCTCCAACAGTTGCCCATCTCTGCTACAGTCCATTATATTTCATTATTTCATTATATATGATACAACAAAGTGCGGCTTTGCTTCCAAAACAAAACAACAACAACAAAAAAAACCCACCAGTAGGCTGGCATTACCTACATCACCTTTCACCAACACCAATTGTCCCTATTTCTTATCCATAATTTTATGTGTCTGTCTTCTCCCAAGCTTGGCTGGCCCCATGATAGGTCAGGATCTTATCAATGTCTTCCAAGCCAAGGCCAGGACACTTGGGTGGGATGCCGCGGGAGAAGAGAGGGGCAGTGTTCTGTGTGTGCTGTGAAGATGTCGAGTTGGAAGAGGTGGCCTGGGCAAAGACTTTGTTGCACATCCCAAAGCTGACGGGGCCCTGGGATTGCTCAGAGTAGGCCTCCTGGTGCTTCATCTCTTGGGAGCAAAGCTGGAAGTTAAAGGCTGCCTGGAAGCCTCTCCGGAAGTTCTCGTTGTAGTAGCCGTAGATGACGGGGTTGATGCTGCTGTTGGAGAAGGCCAGCCAGTGGGCGAAAGGGAAGAAGTAACTGGTCAACAAGTCCAAATGCTCATTGGCCAGGTTGGTATAATCCACCAGCAGCATCAGAGTCCACAAGGGCAACCAGGAGATCATGAAGAGAAGAGCCACCAGGATGAGCATCTTGATCACTTTGATTCTTTTCTTACAGGTGCCATGGGTTCTGGCGGCACAAAGTGGGTTAGCCGTAATGGGTGCGGTGGAGCTGCAGAGCTTCAGGCAGACTCGTCCGTACATGAAGATGATGAGCGTCAAGGGCACCAGGTAAATGTGGATGAAGAGGATGGTGGTGTAGAGCTTCCTCATGCTGTTGTCCGACCAGGCTTCATAGCAGGCGTAGAGTGGGTAGGTGGTGTTTTTGCCATCGCTGAGTACCATATAGTGGTCTTCCATGCGGCCGACGGTGAGCATGATGGCAGAAGGGCACATGATGGCTATGGCCAGGAGCCACACCACAACAATAACCACCATGGCCTTCAGAAGACTGAGCCTTTCTCGGAAGGGCAGAATGATGCAGTGGAATCTGCAGGAGAAGGAGGAAGCCACAAGGATTAGCAAAAGCAAACAACCTTCAGCTGACATCAGCCTTCTCCAAGCAGAGGGAAGGCAGAGAGTCAGATTGTGCCAATAGCCCATGGAGGTAGCTTGAAATGCACATGCTAATGTTTTGAGCAAATTTGTTGTTGTTGTGTGCCTTCAAGTCATTTCTGATTTATGGGGACCCTAAGGCGAACCTATCATGGGGTTTTCTTGGCAAGTTTCTTCAAAGGGGATTGCCATTGCCAACTTCTGAGGCTGAGAGAGTATGACTTGCCCATGGTCACCCAGTGGGTTTCCATGGATGCATGGGGAATCGAACCCTGGTCTCCAGAGTTGTAGTCCAATGCTCAAACCACTATACCATGGTGGCTCTCCACCCAAGTACATAGCCCCTCATCATTTGCTCACCTGTTCCTAGCTTGGAGACAGCTAATGAGTTTTAAACAAGATCTTTCCCGAACTTTGCAATGCCCATGCAGAAAGAAGAAGGAGATTTGAGCCTTACCTGTCCATGGCTATTGCCACAAGAGTGAAGACGGATGCTGAAACAGACATCCCTTGGACCAGGCCACTCATGGTACAGATAACCTGGTTGAATGGCCAGCCTGTCATGGAAAGATGGACAGATGAAGCAAATGTTAAGGGAGCATTTTGGGATTTGCAAGGAGCAAGCTGCAAATTGCACCTCTTTTCACAAGTGCTTTTCACTCCTTGGGGCCTACTCAATTTCATCCAAATCTGTACATGTTTTAAATTGTCTTAACTGTTTCAATTGCTTTTTTTAAAGATTATTGTTTTAATCTCTACAATTGTTTGCTATGGTTTTAGCCTGTTTAAATTTTTCTTGCTGTTTCATAATGTTTTAAACAATTTACATTGATTTTATCGTGCATCACCCTGAGATCTTTAGATATGTGATTAAAATATTGATTCGTTCATTTAATTAATTAAACACTCTTCTAGGAGATGTAGCTGGTTTCTAATGACATTTTTATTAAAAACTCATTCATTAAACAACAGAGAAAATGCAATAAGTTTATTAACTGGTGCAAAGTTCTGGGCTCGAGGCATCTTCTAATAATTTAGGTCACAAATTAATTTCTCATTGGAAATGGGCCCTCTGCACTCCAGACCTCTTTGTAGTTTCAACTCAGAAGGGCTGCCAAACTATTCAAACTCTATTCTTGATAAGGCCAAAACTGGGAATGGAAAACAAAAGTGCCCACCAGACCCAGTTTGGCTCCAGCGCCTCTTAAATTTTATTTTATTTTATTTAAATCATATCCTGGCAGCCTTAGCTCAACCAAGAAAAGAAAGGGGCTACAGAAGTGAGCATTCAACCTTCCCTGGGATCAGTTTAGAAGCTAGTTTAACAGTGTGGTTAGCAAGCAAAAACCATAACTCCCAGAAGCCCCAGCCACTGTGGCCAACATCCAGGACTCCTGGGAGTTGAAGTCCAAAACACTTGGAAGATCAACATTTGGGTATCACTGATCAAGAGCATTCCCAACACCTCTGCTTTCCCAATTCTTCCACCCAAATGCCACCCTCACCTGTGATCAGGTTGTCCATCAGAGTGGTTGGCACACAAAAAATGCCCACCAACAGGTCACTGATGGCCAGGTTGAGGATGAAGAGGTTGGTGACGGTGCGCATGCGCGGGTTCCTCACCACCACCAGGCAAACCAAGGAGTTTCCAGCCATGCATGAGAGAAAGACGACAAGGTATGCGACAATGAAAATGGCGGCTACCACCGGACTATGTTGGTAGTAAGGGAGGAAAGTGCTGTTGCTTTGACTTCTTCCCATCCATGTCTCAGTCTTATTGACCCAAATTTCCTTCTGGATAAAACTGCCTTCCTTCACTTCCATGCTCTTGGCTGCTGGCCACCTGCAAAGCAACCAAAATGGCTATGTGAAATTTTGGGATTTAAAAAAAACAACACTAAAACTAATAGCTGGCATCCCGTATTGCAGGTACAGGTTTGTAACTTATAATTACAGATCCATAAATGCTCTGCATTGAGGAATATAGTCGGACCTCATATTATGCAAGCTTGTATTACGCAGTTTCAGTTATACGCAACCAAAATAATATGTTCTCGCTAGGCATTTTCTATATCCTCCAGCATGATTCTATAGTATGTTTCCACTGTAAGGTGACCATGGTATGATATGCTTCCACTGGAAATCACGGTGGAGGACTTAGAAATGTCTAGAGAATTGTTCTCTCTAGGAATCTCTAGGTCCTCCAACATGACTCTATAGTCAACTTCAGGGGAAAGCATACCATAGAATCACACTGGCGGACCTAGAAAATGCCTAGAGAGAACACTTCATTGTTCATTTCAAGTAAGAAAAATAGCATTCCAGATAATACACACATTTCATATTACACAAAAGGTCCCGGAGCAGATCCCTCATTTAATATGGAATCCAACTGTACTACATACAATCATGGCACTATCGCCATGATCTCGAATGCTGCCCCTAAACTCACCTTAACAGACAGCAACTACATCTGGGGTAGTTTGTTCTGCAGATTTTACCATCAAGGAGTTCTTCCTAATGTTGAGTTAGAACCTCCTTTCTTGTCATTTGAGTCCATTGGTTCAGGTCTTAGTCAATGGCAAAATCTAGACTTCTTGGCAAAGACCAGACACCAAAAGGATGCTTCAATTTTTCTTGCTGGGTCTAAGAAAACCTCTCCAGTTCCTTTCTTTTCATGTTTCTGTAGTTCCCTCTGCCTCTGTGTTCCTCTGCATTTAGAGAATTTCTAATATTTCTAACTCTCATATGGAGGTATCTATATATTCTGTCTTGGACAACTTTTGGTCCCTTCGGCGAACTTATATCTTCTCCCCCTTTGGTCAAGGATTTTCCTAACTGAACACCTCTGAATTAAATGTTGGACTACAACTCCCACCATTGGCAAGGGACAATGGGAGTTATAGCCTAACACATCTGAGGAGGACAAGGTTGGAAAGGGTCTCTGAGGAAAACACCCCATGAACAGTAATAAAGACCTGAAACAGTTGTTGAGAAAAATACAGAAATGGGAAAGTCTTAGTAACTTCCAGTTGCTTTAATTAATCTTTCTTGAACACAGGCAGCTGGATACAGAAAAATGAAAAGTAGGTTCTGAGAAAGCTATTATAATCATATGTAATCTGCATAATTGGTTTGTAATTTCTTTCATGATGAAATCTACAGACAGTCACCACCAAACCACAGCTGAAGCATTCATTTCTTTTGACACATTATTAAAATCTTGCCTCCCATTCTTTCCACTTCAGTACGATCGATCCAAAACAACATTTACAGATTCATGCTGGCTTGATAAAGGCAGAACTTGATGTAATAAAGATCAAAAGGCAACCCTCACATCCAACAGGCCCACATCACTGCAATAGGTGTGATGTATGCGTTGTTGTTGTTGTTGTTGTTGTTATGTGCCTTCAAGTCATTTCCAACTTAGGGCAACCCTAAGGCAACCCTATCCTGGGGTTTTCTTGGGAAAATTTCTTCTTGTCTTATTGTCCTTCTAAACTCTTGCATGTTTTGATTAATGTGATTTAACTGATGTTGTTCATTGTTGGTTTGTTGTTGTTCCCTGCCTTGGAGAGGCAGATAAGAATTATTATTATTATTATTATTATTATTATTATTATTATTATTATTATTAGGTTTGCTTTTGCCTTCCTCTGAGGCTGAGGGAGTATGACTTTCAGTAGGTTTGCATAGCACTGAGTCCTGGCAGTTAAAGTGGAGTCAAATTGTTTTATTTCTGCAGTGTGGATACATCCCTGGACTCAGCCTTTAAAAGCTGTAAACCAGAGCTCAAACCATTATGCCATGCTGTACCCAAGAGTACCCATACTGCAAGAAAAGGGGTAGAAATCAAAGCCCATGTGATGGGGGCAGATCTCAGTTTTCAACAGGTCTGTTGTCTTTTTATGATATTTGCCTCCAGCTTAAATTTTGCAGATGGAAAACAAGCACACCCACAGATATTAATCACAGTTTAAATCCCCATATCCATTAGCACACTCTTCCACCCCTTTGGGAAGTCCTGCTGTCCTTGGATATGAGGATATGGAAATGAAGCATAGTTGCTGAGCTTCATGATGCCTGTGGTGGGAAATGGATTGCAAATCCAACACAAACTTGCATTCATTAAGATGTGGGAATGAAGCACAGATGGTATCTTCATGATGTCTATGGTGGGAATTGGGTTGCAAATCTAACACAAGCTTGCTTTCACGAGGATGTGGAAATGATCCTCTGAGACATCATGAAGACCATCTGAGACATCATGAACTAAGGCATCATGAAGATCATCACGGTTATCTTCATGATGTCTGTGGTGGGAATTGGATTGCAAATTTAGCAAAAGTACCACGTCGGGTTGCAAACCACAGTAACAAATGTGTGCAAATCAGAATGTAATTGCTTCCAAGAGTTTCCTGGACTTTAAATAATCAGCTACCGGTTATGTCTACCACTGACTGGGGACAAGAATCGCAGAAGCTGCTGTCTAGATGGGGTTCTCCACCCACAAGCTGACGATTCATATCCCTGCTTTATGTGCCATTTCTGTCCTCAGACCTGGATTTAGAAATTTGCCAAATGCTACGTGTCTCAAGAAGACCTGACTGAGTCATCCCTGCCCTTCTGGACAGCATTCTCCCCATGAGTGCAAGCTTGTGTTAGATTCACAGTCCAATTCCCACCACAGACCTCATGAAGCTCACCATCTATGCTTCATTTCCATACCCTTATGAATGCAAGCTTGTGTTAGATTTGCAATCTGATTCCCAACATAGACCTCATGAAGCTCACCATCTGTGCTTCATTCCCACATCCTCATGAATACAAACTTGCATTAGATTTGCAATCCAATTCCCACCATAGACCTCATGAAGCTCACCATCTATGCTTCATTTCCACATCCTTGTATCCAAAATACAAGAACAGCAGGACTTCCCAAAGGGATGGGAAAGCGTGCTAATGGATTAGGGAATTTAAACTTTGATTAATGTCTGTGGGTGTGCTTGTTTTCCATCTGCAAAATTTAAGCTGGAGGCAAATATCATGAGAAGACAACAGACTGGTTGAAAACTGAGATCTGCCCCCATCAAATGGGCTTTGATTTCTACCCCTTTTCTTGCAGTATGGGTACTCTTGGGTACAATGTGGTATAGTGGTTTGAGCTTTGGACTAGGACTCTGGAGAATCCCAGCTCAGCCATGGAAACCCATTGGGTGACCTTGGGCAAGTCCCACTCTCTCAGCCTCAGAGGATAACCATGGCAAACCCCCTCTGAACAACCTGGCCAAGAAAACCCCATGATAGGTTTGCCTTAGGGTT